TGACTCCGTGCCTGCATTTCGTCCTAGTTAGTTTGACTGCAGATTGCAACTAGTTTGCTAAAACAAATAATATTATACTACTTACCAGACTAGCGAAAAAGTATGTCAAATTGAGGTGATTATTGTTTAGCAGAATAAGTAGTATATGAATTCAACAAATTTTGTTTTGTCTGTTCCTTACCATTGTCTGTCATCATGATAAAAAAAAAGGGGGGGAGGTCCATGAGTATTTAGCATATCCACAGAATCATCAAATCCACTTAATGTAACTTACATATGTCTTTCCTGAACTCGTTTGACCGTAAGCAAAAACGGTACCTTTAATAAGATCATAATTGCACAAAAGTAATTACTAATGACATTTCTTGGTCGGAAGCGTTTGGTACAAAATTCGACTAGACACCAAGATAGCAAAGCAACGAAACGTCTAACAGCCGAATAAACATCGGCTGATTTGTCCTAGCTTATGTCAGTCACAAAGACGCTTGTTCATAGCATGTGCATTACTTGCATTTTGGTAAGAATCATTACAACCCGTCATCAGACCCGAGTTGATTCCACTACCAAACGCTTTGAAATCAATGAACCACTCCACTAACCATTATATCCTTCCATCGTGGCACTAATGAATACGCATAAACAGATTAGTCCAACAGTTACAATAGACTATCATGCCACACACAAACAGCAGCGATTCACCGAATACTTACAGCACGGTTTCCTGTATTCCTTTTTGAAATAGCGAACGATTATCACTACCCACAAATACTTCATCTACAATGCAAAAAAAAGTAATTAACAACAAGACACACTTTGGTTTACTCTTTCTCATTCCCGCCGTTTAATATTACGCCGATCAATATAGTTACCATAATAATACTCTGCACGCGGCCGCCTATAGCGCTCTGCGTAGGCAGCGTCTAAACAAATTCGACCGCTGTCCTTGTCTACTTCCCAAACGTCGGTCTCGCCACGGTTAAGCTCAACGTCATTAGGTGGACGCACTCGTACTGTGACTTGTACATTCTGACGATTAGTTCCTGGCGTCGTCGTTGGTGTGATTGGTGTCTCTGAGCGCGGTGGAGTGGAGCTGGTAGGTGTTGTTGGATAGGAGTAGGTTGGTGACGGTGCCGGGCTTGGTGTTTGTTGTATGTGTGGACTACGTGCCCGCGTTGGTGTACGTTTTAAAGCAGACATCTATGAATGGAATTAGAAAGGATTAAAAGGATAGAGAGGGCGAGAGGGGAAAAGTGTATATTTTTGGAAAAGTGTTTATTGCGCCTGGATTGTATCGAAATTGTCTCCGCATTCACGTGAGGATAAACAATTACCTGCATAAATGGTAAATAATAAATAATTTATAACTAAACCAAAGCAAGTAAAAAAAAATTCACGCATCGGGTCACCATTGGTCGAATTTTTTATAATGGACATTTGTGAATGGTCTCTTTGAAATGACGTAAATGTATACCGTAGATTTGGAATTTAATACGAAGCTGAACGAGATGGAATGCTTGCATCAAGACACAACAGGACATATCAATAAATCACAACAGCAATGTGATGCTTTATACTAGAGCAGAGATTACGCAAAATTTTGAGCTTTTTCTTTTTCTTTCGAAACTTGTAATTATTTGTTGTTGCGTGCTAGCTAATTTGTTGACATTCATGTTGCTGTGAGAGTAATATTTTGGATGTGGCCAAACTGTAAATTTACTGTTCGATAAAACAGGCCATTATTTGGAATTCTAACCAGGCAAAGACTTTTACGAGTCTGCTGGATATGTAAATGGATTAGCGAGTGAGTAAATAAAATGGTAATGTCATTCAGAAAACTTTTTTGGAGCTAAAGATGTTCAATAAGACCATTATTAGCATTATTGTCATGGCTGTCTTTATTGTTAGTAAGTTTCAATACTGGATTAATTTAATGAGCTATATTAATATTAGTACTCTGCTTTAAAACTCTATTATTATGCGTTTCCGAAATGTCTTCTATGTATCACATAAATTTATTGGTGCATGGATTATGGATTATTGTAATGTGACAATTCCGAAACGCTAGAACGCCGTAATAGTAATAGTAATAGTAACATTATTATTATCAGAAATTTATCCGAAATACTTTCTTTTCTCACAGAGATTATACTAAAAAAACCTATTACTATTACGCTGTCAAATGCGTGTAACATGCCGGATAACATCCCGATTATCCGAAATTAAAATGATTATTATGAGGCCATTGTTGTTACAATCTTAGAATTAGATATGCCAGTGGTACAGTCTCTGTTTGATAGTTTATCAAACAACAGAGAGAACGCAAGCCAGTCTGTACGAACGTAGAACGCTTCTTTAGCGGTCTTGCGTTATGCAATATAGTTTACGCAAGTGGCACGACGTTACATAATACGGACGGCTTCTCGCACTCAATCATCTAGAATGCTTTCACCGTTGACCAACAACCTGTTGCAGCAAATATTAAATTGCAAAATTTTTTATCATAATTTCGCGCAATGTAAAGTCACGTACATTCCTGCAGGCGTATGTCCATTACCATTACGCCTTGTGCCACATGCTCTGCAGACATATCCTTTTCCATGTGTGCCGCTGACCAGTAACTTGCCATGTTATGTTAAAGATGGTTGAGTCGTAGATGAATATCTGAACACATCTGACCGGACCATATTCACTTTTTATGCTAAACGCTGAAAATCCTTTTGTTTGTTTTTTTTCTAATTTATTCTATACCATGTCTAAAAGTAGCGCTATAGGCGCAACAGCTAGTAGTTCAGCCCCAAATTTTTACTATCACAGAATGATTTTTATAAAATGCTGCCTGTTCCTGTTGGTAATATTGGAAATGTTCCATTGCATGGGACGAGACGTTTCAGCGCCAGTTTCACGAAATCTTGTATCATGTCATATCGCGATATTGTGTACTTGGGATGACTACAATTTTGCGATTAGAGTATCCAAACGGTCACCCTCCGGTGATGACTCCATCTGAATAAAATAAAACGCTGGAATGTTTCATATAAAATGTGTGGCAAAAATAAAAAGGGACAACTACAACGTCCTGCACTTACGTAGAGGCATGCATGAGATCATGTTTCAATTAATGATCTGCGAAATGCATATGCACTCTCGCTCGCTCGAACATTATAGTTACATTATAATAGCGTATCATAACTGCAAAGAATCACAGAGTTGTTAAATTCTGAGGATTTTTCTTTGTAATTTTACGATGAATAAATATTGAACGTCATAACGTGTAAAATAGTACAAACGCAGACTATGGTTAGAACTTTCTACGAGTTATGCATAGTTTAGGGGGTATCGGAGATTTTGAGTAACTCATTAGATAACGTGCGGCTGGAGTTAACGTAGTACAAATTAATAAAGAAGAGGGGAAACCTATTCTGTTATAAATGATGGCCGGCTAATGCTGGTAACACGTAATTTTGTGGAAGATTGAAGCAAAGCTGTTGATTGTAATGTTTGTTTAGATATACAGTATTCATTATGCGCCATACCCGCTAATTTGGTTGTTTTACACGTAAAAGCCAAGTCAATCGAAGCTATTTTGTTTCAGATAATAAGGCTAAGATGATGATTTAACATTACTATTGTTGTATTCATAACCGACATTAGCAAGACCTTAGATCTCGATGATTATCGAGTCGCTTGATAGGTAACAAAACAATCAGGGTCACCCATGTGTGCTTAATGAAGACCTCGTAAATCTTAATTCGAGTTTTTACATCTATTTCTTCTAATGGAATTGGTTTGGAGTTGGAAAAAATTCACCGACTGAACGCGTTTATAAGGAAATCCTGATCTACCAATAGTAATGAAAGACATTTTCACTTTTACCAGCGATTAAGATATCTTTGAATTATAAATAAATAAAAATTTTTATTAGAATATAAGAAACTAGCCCGACTGTAAGGAATTGTAATCCAATAAATAATTTAAACGAGCTAACGATGCCTTTCTTTTTTTTATTTCAGCAATGCGCATTGGAAACAGATTGGAACAGAATACGCGTAGCTCTTTCCAAATTGTCGTCACGTTAAATGCATAATATACCGTATTTTCCCGATAAATAAACAACATTTCGGAAAAATTAAAAAATTTTAAATACATAAATAAAATAATAAATAATTTCTTTCGTTTTGCTATACTACCCCGAAATATCAAAAAAAATGTTGCTTATTTTTGGAAGAATAATTATGTCTTACATTGTGACCAAGCTCAAGATTATACGTGTACGTGTACGTGTTCTGATGTTCCACCCAATTCATGATACTCTTTCCAGTCATGTTTTAAACGTTAGGATATTTATACCCCTTTAAAGTTGCATTTTGATGAAATTAAAATTTGCTAATATGCTTTGGTATTTGATTACAAATCCATAAGTGCTTACACAAGTGTTTGTAGAAATACGTGTATATATCAAGCAACATCAACAGCAATTGGTCAATCGTGACAAGTAAGGCTCATCGTTGATTTTTCAATCTTGCTGGTCATATTTGCTTATCAGTCGCAAAGTATGTTTCCCAGCTGATCCTTTGGCGATTCTAATTTTCCCATCGTTCAATTATGCTTCCATCATAGGAAATTTTGAGGGCAAACAAGCACTGGCAACAAGTCTATCACCAATAATGTGTACCCATCAATGTCTGTATTGAGCAATATATCCCCAGTCATAGGAAGCAAGCCGTTCTATTGCATCAGCTGGAATTTGACCAGAGAGCCAGTAAAAAGTTGTTTGCGAGTTGAAGCTATATCGTACATTGTAAAACAAACGGTTCGGTCACTGCTGATTGCTGCCTAATACACGATAATAGTCAACTCCACAACATGGGAATGTTAACCAAGACAATAACTTATCAAAAACCGAAACAAAATTTATTCGCCAGGTATTAAAACATGTGCGAAACAACAATTTGATGATAAAAAACTGAATCGGATCCATAATTTTGTTCAACAAAATGACGTTTCAAATTAATAATTTGTTCAACAATCAAAAGGATGTTGCTGCATCTACAATAAGAAATTTTTATCTTTGAAGAACAATGCCATGGAAAAAGACTATTGAGACAGATAAAAAAAATGAAATAAAGAAATAGATGAAAGTAATAATATACAGCGTGTAACAAAAACACGGCGTCCGTTAATCGAATTTAAATAAGGAAGCGTGTGTTGATCATTATAATTAATCTGTTTGTTTATTTACGCAAATTTAATAAACGCGTTTGTGAAGTAGAACTTGTATTTAAATTGAGTTTACAGAAATTGAATTTTGTTGCAAACCAAACTTTATGAATGTGTTTTTACAACAGTAAGTCAAAGATTGTAAGAAACTGTCTCTGTTGATTGGTCGTTCAATTCGTGAAACTATTTCGTTTTTCTTACCTTAATTATAAGTTGGTGTTAACTGATTGTTATCTTTTGTTCTTTTTGATAAAATTTACAAGTAATTTTTTCTATCTAGATAGTCTCCGATTATTGATTTTAAAAACTTGTAAACCTTTTTTTTTAAAAAAATACTTTTGTTGTAATTTTTTGGTTTCGCAGTGATTTAGTGTAAGCTAATACTAATATTAAAGTTCTTTATATACTTTTACATTAAATTCATCTTTATTCCGGTCACATTCTGGCATGATAGATTTAAACATTATTAATGTCATCAGTCACACTGGCCAATTTTCGCTTTGTCTGGTTTTGTTGCAGTCTGCCTCATTTAAGATGAAGGATAAGCATTTGAATTCTTCTTAATTATATTAGCCTATAGTAATAGTAACGATGACGTATATAACTTGGGCTTTTCAAAATCACATAATAATGATTCCTTAATGTTAAATCAAAAAGTTATCATTGATCATTTACATATCGCAAATTAGCAAAGGACTATTTAGTCATCTTTTATTATTATGTTATCGTAAGTTACAGCAATAGTCGTCTTTGGACAACTTTTTTGGTAATATATATTCACAGTACATCTTTAATATTAATTCGGACGATAGTTGGTGTCCAGGATTATTAATATTAATAAAGTTGACCGTAGTATTACCTAGGCAGACTCGATAAGTTTTGGTCAACTCGGTACAGCCAATATCAGTGAAAAGTAAAACGAGGCTTTCACAATTATTTGCATTGCATTTCTAAATAAAGTTTTCACTACATTAGTCATGTGGTTTTCGATGATATCCCTGAATTTTGAGAGTGAATTGATTGGACGCTTTTTACCAAATAATACGTCCCCAACCACAACTCTAATTCATATTGACACAATGCATAGTTATAGCACAGCCGTTTCTACACTTCATGAACTTCGAAAGTCGGGCGAAAGGAAGCCTGATTTAGTTGTATCTCTAGGACAAACATTGATTGATGGTGGACTGACCAGGAAACTCGGCGACGAAGGTTAGGTTTGTCAATTTAGGCACGTTTTATGTTTGATTCGACTGTAATCAATAGGTTTTTTTTATAGCGTGGTCCGTGTATGAACAAATTTTCATTGCTGCCCTTGATGTCGGAAGAGATGATTTGGCAAAGGTAAAATTTTCATAGAGGGTGAGCATATGAGGCTGTCAACACATCAAATCGCTCATTTATGCGTATTTATCAATGCTTTTGTCATCAAGACATGCCTCGAGCGTTTGGAAAAGAGGTTTCCAGACTCACCCAGGGTAGAGCTGTTGTTGGGTATGAAATATGAAGCGGAGAAGAAACTCGATCAGGCACTGTCTATTTACGAAAAAATATTGAACGAGGACGAAACCAATATGGTATTGTATATCTATTGTCGCTATAACCCATCTAGCCCAGAAACATGTACGATCTAATTTACTCTTTGGGGGACGCTTCCAAATAGCCAGTTGAGAAAAGAAAGATTGCGTTGTACAAGACAATGGGACATAATCAGGAAGCTATCAATGCTCTAGTGAGATTTCTCGATGTTTACTACAACGATGTTGAAGCATGGCTCGAATTGGCATCGCTGTATCTACGTCAGCATCTGTAGGTATTGACATTCGTTTCGTTTTGTCTTTTGTATTGTACATGCGTGAATAAACGCGGGATACAATTATTCGATACAGGTATCAACAAGCCGCATTCTGTCTGGAAGAATTAATTCTGCTTCAGCCACAGAATCACTTTTATCATTTGAAGTATGCCGAAGTGTTATACACCAGTGACAATATCCCATTGGCATTGAAGGAATATTGTAGGGTCATCGAGCTGTGCGATGATTATGTGAGAGCGTTATATGGAATCAAACTGGTGAGCATACACAAAATCGATGCATGGATTTTAACGCGATTTCTATAATATATTATTATGCAATAACGCCTCTAATTACCATTCATACAGTGCACGTATAAATTGCTTAATGCATCATCATCCGCATCCTCTTCAAAGATAACGGGAAACACCGATTCCCATACGTTATCCGTTCTCAACGAATTAGCAACCGAAAGATTGCTTCACGTTTACAGTCATAAAAAATGCTCAAAGGTTATAAAAGATGTCGTTCGAGAATGGTTGCAGAATTACTAATATGCACAAGATGATAATATCCGGTTGAATATTTAGTTAACCGTGTTGCGGTACGACTCACAATTAATAATTTCAATAGACGTTATTATAGATGTAATGGAATATGACCATTAAACTTGGACAATATTTTCCAAACACGCAAGAGGCGAAAACGTCTCGCCGAGTCGAGTTGTTATTCACATCCAGTAGGACGCTCGGTATTTTTATTTGCAAAAACTATTCGTGCATATGCCACCTGCATGGTTGCTATGATAGCAGTTAATGCAGAACCACATAATTTTTATTAAAAGCGAACAGAGAACACCAATGAGCCTTTGAGCCAACAACGAGCAAATTGATTCCGAAAACGCAGTGGAACGCTCCAAGCCTCGTTCCGGATAACGCGTTATTTTGACATGATAATAAAAACATAGAACGTGATTTGCTCACGTAAAAGAATTTCTCGTATAATTATTGTCCGCGCGATCACTTCAATGTCAAGGAGCCCAGGTATCAGGACATGTTTTTTTGAATAGCCGTCAAGGCGTTACGATGAAGAAGACAGGCTAGTATTGGAACGTTGTTATCAATCAATGCGGTAATTTTGGGGGAGCGACATTATATGCATGCAGTCTTTAAAAAATTGGTGATTTAATATTAATATTAATATTGCTTGTAATTCTTTAACATTGTTCGAGTGATTAAAAAATTATTAATGTATAACCTTTTAACCATTTTTATTTTAGCCAATTTTGTTGCATATTTGAAAGGTTTTCTTTGATATCTACAATTGGCTAAAGCTTATTGCACTAACCGCCAAGACCCTCTCTTAACCTGGAAATTTAACGTGAATTTCAACTTAATAAGCCATGTGACTTTTACTGTGATCCACGTTTAATTTATTGTAATATAGTAATAGTAATGCGGTGATTTTTTGAATGGCTATTTATGTCACTCGTTTAATTTTTGCTGTGATCGTAGATGCTTTCCTGTAGGCCGTTACTGTAAACCATTACTGTAAGCCATTACTGTAAGCCATTACTGTAAGCCATTACTGTAAGGGATAATACTCAAATGACCATCTTCGCTTTCATTGGCGGATAGAGAGAGATTTCTCACGTTCAATTGTTCAAAAGACGAAAATATGTATTAAGTTTCACTTGTGCATCATCAGGGCCTATACCGTCAGTGAGATAGAAAGGAATAACAAGTCTATGAGAAGAGTTCCACTTTGCAATGCATCTGACGTTCTACCAATAAGATGGCAACTTTTTCTTTTCTTTTTCTTTTCTTTTTCTTTTTTTTTCTTTTCTTTTTTTTTCGTCTATTATTCAGATGTTTTAATACAATAATAAAAATGGCTTCGCCATAAAGCTCTGTTATTACTCAATGGGGGCAGCACTCTAGTACGTGAAAAATTATTATTAAAATTATTCATTCCTTTTTATCACACTAATCCATCGTACAAGCTCAAAGCTTGCACAATGGTTGGGTCCTGTTTTGAACCTTCTTGGAATTCTTCCATGCTAAGCTTTCCGTCGTGATTCTAGTTACGGAAAGGGAAATTTGAAACCATTAAATATGTAGATGCGGCATGGCGTAACAATCGACAAAAATATATATACCAATCTACCTTATCCATAAGAGCAAATATCTTATCCACTCTTTTCTGTGGAGTATCCTCATCAGCTGGTAATTTAACCATACTGCCAACCATCTTGTAGATAGCGTCCACAATACGTAACATTTCATCTTGCGTTATGAATCCGTCATTATCAATATCGTAGAGTTGGAAAGCCCCTGTATCAAACGCAATTCATAATTAAAAACGGTTTTCCCATTTCGGATTCATGGATTAAATGATACCGGATCGTTACTCACATATTAGCTTCTCCTCGAGTTTTCCCCGCGAAGTGACAGATAGTGCGCATATGAATTCTTTAAAGTCGATAGTACCATTCTTGTCTTCGTCAAATACATTAAAAACGTATTCTGCGAACCGCGAGGGATCGCCAAATGGGAAAAATTGTTTGTATATCTTTTGAAACTCTGTCTTGTCGAGTTCTCCAGATGGACAATCTTTTAAAAAGCCCTTGTACCTAGATGCGAAACAGTAAATGCGAAAGCAAATGGTATACTGGTCAGGAATGTTTTCATTCAATGGCGAGACTTACGCTCTCTTCTTCTACCGGTCTATGGTTTACAGCAATTTGTCAAATTGTATGCATAAAAGGCGATAGGTTATTTTGGAATCCGCTTTCTCACCATTGTTGAAGCTCGTTTTTATTGACTATGTGAGGTTTACGAGATGGAATTAGCAAAGAGGTATTATCGCAGCGGGAGCAATTATCGTTTTAGAACACATCCCTGTCTACAGATGCAACTTAACACCATTAATACTTACAGTAAGTACACTTTTGCAACTCTTTGAGCTGTTCTTCACTAAGTTTACTCTGCGATTTACCCATTGTGTTGAATTTTCAAAAGTCGATACAATAGTAATTTTCGTTTAATGATAAAGAATGGCTGCGTGCAAATATTCGGTTTGTCGTCTTTGCGTGTAAGATGCCTTGGCTATATTGTAAATGTCAATTAAATAACAGAGATTGGAATCACTATAAGCAGGAGAGCTTCATTCCGAGACGATCAAGTTGACGTATTTTAATTAGAGGACGAGAGCCTATTTCATTTTGTTCTTGAAGATCTCAGCTATATTGGCTCATATGGAAATTCTTGGAGGAAACCGGATCACGTGAATAATCATGGCGCCATTCTATGGGAATGTTCCTTCGTTTAACTTATTGACAAATGTACGACTAATAGTCATTGGTACTTTCAATTCTTTTCCTAAAATTACAAACAAACAGGTGCGAAAGGTGGAGTGAACGCTAAACAATAATTTTAGTTTTTTTTTGTCCGGCAAACGTATTTGCGACTGCGATTTAAAAACTGCTTTTCGGTAATTGTTCCTACCGTCGCATCTCTACCGAAGCAGTTTTCAACTTTAGTCTTTGAAAAACGAAAATTTGTCTGTTTAAAAAGCAGTCCTAATGACATAGACAATTTAGGCAATGATGCTAAGCCACGTAGAAGGACCCCAATGAGGAAAGCGAGAAGATTAGTCAGACAGAATGTCATAGTGATGATATTTATGCCCACTCATGTTCAGGTCTTTTGTACCTATAGATTAGATGAAACAAATGTTTTAAATCTCTTGGCATCTGCACTAATACAGGTTGGCAAAGTTGGTAGCGAATGATAAAGGAAGGCTATATTATTATAATAGAATGCCGCAGTAAGTATGGTTGAATCATCGGCCTGACATTGTTTTTCGTGTATGGCATGGGGACAATTTCTGACATACTCAGTAATATCGTACAAGGGATGCTGTAATAACGTATTATTTATTACTTATCGAATAACCAAATTATGGTTAGCCCAACGCGAGAATAAACTGTTAAAAGGGGAGAAAACAATTTGCCTCCTGTCCAAGTCGACTTTCACGAAAACCTTAACCATTTATTATTGCGGTAACAAGACAATGTTGAGAGATGGATAGAGATTCGATGCACAAAAATTCTCAAGACAACCTTAAATACTCGATAGCTCGTAATAAGATAAAAATAAGAGAACGTATATGGAAGGGTTCAACGCCACACACAAAATGTTTACAACTTCCATGAATGTTTCGCGCACACTTGGAAGCAATATAATTGTGCGGGCAGCAAAAAGTTTGCCACCCGAATTGGCCAATTTGATTGCATGGAACAGTTTACCGTCAAGAAAATCCAGAGAGAAATAACATTGATGTTGATATTACGCCATGGTGTTTGTAACTGTTATTTATTAATTTGCAAATTATCCACTCAATACAGACTTGGCAGATGCTCATAAAGATAGCATCCTAAACAAAGACTAGAGAGTACTGACTAAATACTTTTATATCGTTGAATACTACGAAAGGATTGTAGAAACAATGCCAAGCATCGAGTACTACCGATAATTTGTTCCACTAATACTGTGGATCCCGTGACATAACTGACGTGTGTGTGGTGGTGAGTGGACTTGTATTAAAATAGTTAATTATGACAAAGTCAAATGTGAATTTAAAAGACCGCTTGGAAAAGCAATTGCAACCTAATTGACAGCGGCGTCAAATGATTACGAAATCAAAGAGAAATTATGTTAAATTTCTGCAGCCTATTAGTTGTGATGCGGATACAAAGATACGCTTGATGAAAGACTGGCGTTCAGTGAAAAACGAATTTGATATGGTTATGGCGATGAAGTGTCGGTTAAGATGTATGTCTTATGGATTATTAAATCTTTTATTTTTGATCTGCTTTAATATTAATTAATTTTAATGTGCTTTCTTTATAAATATCTCTTTCATAATCTTAAAGAGATTGATATTATTGCTCTAAGCAAATTTTTTCCCTTGAGAGTTTTTAAAATACTTCTAGTTGAATTGTAGTTTTTAGAATTTAATAACGGTTGAGCTTTAACGTGTAATGTTGATTCATGTGTAGATTTTTTAAAAAAAGGTTTATTTTTAAACTTAAGGCGTAGATGGATACATTATAGCGTACGTGGCTGACTGGCAACAACGGCATCGAGGTATAGACTGTTTCGACTGCAGGCTGTATACAATCATTTCACCGACAAAATTTCCCCAACATTATTTCGAAGTTAACCCTTTAGTTTTTGTCGGTGAAATAAACCGGACCCTATTCCGGCTACGGACGCTTTTAGCAGGCGGCGCAGACAGAACACTAGGAAAGGCTATGCAATTATTAGCAAAGTATATACTAATATAGTCTGAAGTCATTATTATCGTATGAGTTGTAATCAGCCAATTAAATCGAACTAATTATGTCACGTAATAGTAATGCAAATTATCACATTGACCGCTTTCAGCTTATTGAAATCTTACAAGTTGTCAAATAAAAAACTCTTTGACTGACTTAAGGCAAAGCAATTATCGAGACTGGTTTGTATTTGCAAAATGCAAAAGAGAAAGAAAGAACGAAAACAAAAAAGGAGCGATACTTGGTTGTTTGTTATGCGGAAAGAATATACAAAGAACAGAAATTTGTCAGCCATATATTCCAAGTCATTATTACTTTATTACAATAAGTTGTTCAAATAGGAGGCGTGGCAATTGTACGTTTACTATGGATGGCATAACGATCTAGTCTGGTAAGTAGTTAAGCGTTACTACTGCGCTTGTGTGCGTGTGTTCTTTAAATAAAGAATTGTCTTTAAGCCACAACCAACTAACACATAAAAAACCAAATATAGTTAGATTGTACTCAATCATCTAAGCAGTTAATCCTCGACTGTACCTCCTTTGTCAAAAACTAATACTCTTTTGCGTGAAAAGGATTATCACTAATTGCTTTTTCAAGACAGTTAGTGCCTTTGTTTACCAACCAAAAAAACCAGCTGCTTGGCTGATTTTCAGTCCCAGAAAATTGATCCAAAACTAAAAGTCCTAACTGAATGCTTAGGTTTTGTTAATCCAGAAAGGTTAATGCTCGAAATAATTTTCTCAGCCGATCACATAAACGAAATTGTCAGAAACGTCACTAGAAAATGTACCAGTGATAACTTGGTTAATATTTATTTGGAATAACAAACCAGCATCAAAAAGTGTAACGATTATTGTTATTATTATTTATTTGTAAGCAAGAGGAGAATGTCATGTTCCCGATCTATTCTGAGATATCTCGATTACTCAATAACAAACCCACACGTGAATCATGTCACAGGAGTGACTTTTTTTACTCTATCATACAGGGATAAACAGCCGTCCCTCAGCCATCGCACACATAATCGTTGCTTCATTTCTTTATTCGACCTTTGTTAGATCTTTCACGTGCACAGATTTTGGCTATAAATCGTACTATTGTAAGTGCTAAGTAAAGGGGCTGTGTAACTCTATAACCATTAATATTAACAGACGGCAGTTTGCTTAGCCTCTACTGATTGTGCAACCGCGAGTCAGTTTCCAACTCCGTCTGTATCATATTATGTGCATCAACAATGTTATTAATACGAAAAATAGTAAATCATACAGAAAAAAAAAACAAACAACAAAAACAACCAAACCTTCCACATACTAAACTTTGAATTACAATTTAAAACAACGTTTATTGTCTTTGGAGGAGATGTCAGTTCTATAAAGCCAAGACATATCTTATAATTACTAATGGGTGACTATTTTGTATTACGAGTAACAAAAAAAATGTACTTTTTAGTGAAGCAAAGCCAAAGCGTTCAATTCGAATAGACTACATTAGCTTCACATAGCCCTTTTAAAATTTCATCTTCTCTAGAAACTAGAATGATCTTATTGTATTCAACGTCAAAACTATTTCGCACTAGTAGCCTTTTTCGTCCCGAAAAGTCCTGTTTATATGGATCAATTTTGACATTTGAGAAAAACACTGAATATGCATCAATTATCTTTCCATTTTGTAGCCTCTAGCGGGAACGACAAAAATAATATGATTTTAGTTTTCGTCCAGCCTGACTTTAGCGGGCTAGCGTACACTATCAATAGCTTCCGTATGTCTAGCCTGTCTGACAAAATTCATGCATGCGTCAGCTTAAGGACGATGTTTAGATACAAACATAATTGCCACCACGCGTGGTGGTAAATACGTTATAGTCTGATGAACAATAAATGGACGGCTTTCTACAGTAAAAGTCATAATGTCTCAACTTCAATATACTGCATTCTCCACAACTTTCCAAAAGTACCATGTGCCAACGTATCGTTGAACTGATTTCTTTTAGTTGATATTCAGACTGAGGAACATAGAACATGAGTCTTTATATATCAAAGGACTTTTTTGTTGTAAACGATTACGCTGCTGCTCACAAACTCACAACCTTGTCTTTCTCTATTCCCGTTATTGACAAATGCAACGTTATTACTTATTGTTATTTTTTTTTTGTTGGCCGCAGCTGGGGGACATTTCACTTGACCGATCAATCACAGTGCTTTATATCTATTTCTGGGTTTATCGTTATTTTAACGGGTACTAAATTTTTATTAGTACAGTTGTCAATATCGAGTCGAGAGATTAGTAAGATTGATGGTGCGCGCGTATTTTGCGTTGTAAGAGTCTCTGCACATAGTCGGCACTTTGATGTCAGTAGTCGTTTGTTCGTAATTCGGCATTATTTCTCCAAAAACACACCTATTTGGGCATGTCTAAAGTGAATATTAGGATTGATTTCCCAATCATTTATTGTGTCCCCAAATGATAAATCCCCGATTCCTCAAATTTACTATATATTAACCCTGTATCCTATCTACACCCCTCACATTACATCCCCATATCCGATATCCAGTCATCAAATAGCGCCATGTCAACTAGGCAAGTCACCAGATTTATTTCCCCTCTTTTAATTACACATCGAGGAAAACAAAATGAACAGTTTATATAATAATAAAGCATAACAAATAATGAATCTTTACCTTATAACACACTTCCAGACTCGACCGTCTGGTTCTACTGCTCGATACAGGTTCCACATCCGCCGTTAGAGCCACTGCGGCACAACAATTGGGTGAAATACAGAAGCAACATCCTGGAGAATTATATAATTTATTACAAAGGGTACAGTATTATTGATAAGAAACCGTCTGATCCATTTTGTAGAAAACGAAAATATTTAATTCATACTTTGAACGTATTTTTCGTCATATCATTTATCCCGTCTATTAGGTCGTCGTGCACCTTCGAAGTGACCAGTGGGAGACACGACTGGCTGCTGGACAGGCTATAGAGGCTATTGCGAGCAACGTCCCACAGTGGGATCCGCAAGAACGTACGCGCAGTCTTTTATGCTTGTTTTATGGTCTAATGACTCTGTGCATTTATTAAGACGTGTGTTTTTACAACGGGTTATGTAGCCGCACAATCAGAAAAGACGTCCATTGGATGTGATGATTCATATGAAAATAAACTTACTTTCGAGAGCTTTAATATTAACAGTGTATTGCTGCATGGAAGGCCGTTATTAGGGTCTGCCGGAAAGGTAAATTTGGACATCAATCCCGTTGAAGAATATCCAATTGTATTACTTATTATACAACTTTATAGGAATATGATTTAGATCTAAATGATCTCAGTCCCGCAGAGCGACTGGCTCTACAACGAAAAAATTTAAAGCAGAGATTAGGATTAGGCAGTCAATTTATGGATGGTAACGCATTTTTTGATTATGAATATTGGTAAATTGACCGCGTTGTACTGTTTTCGTATTGATCGATCTATTGCAAACAATTATTGAGCAGAGCTATTGGATGACGCGGATATAAATGCTGAAGTATTGTCATCACCAACAACGTTTGGTGCCACCTCTACGGCAGTGACAACAACAATGTCTACGATACCGAGCGCAATGATTACATCACCCATAAAGCAAGAGTCAACTACACCTCCTCAACTACCCCCGCCGCCGTCTATAGCACCGGAACCAGACTTATCAGGATTGAGTGCAAGAGAGCGGAACAGGCTAAAACGAAAAGCTAAGAAAGACGCGAAAGATAAAGGAAAGGAAAAGTATGTGTGACCTATAGTGATTTCGCAATGACTATTTATTAATCAACAGACTTATTTAAGATGCAATTTTGTTAATCGTCAATTTATCAATTGCTAAATATATTATTCTCTGTCCTCAGAGTCCGTGTTTTAGATCTTGGAAGCTCGCGGCGTACAGGAAATGAAACTAGTGGACCTCCTCTAGCGCCGGTTGGCCCAATAACATCACCGACAGCAGTCAAAGTGGAAGATGGTTGGTAGAGACGTTATTCAGTCACAACGATAACGCTAGTTTATTTTTTTCCCCTCATGTAAATGTTAACATATTTTGATGTCTGATAGGACAACCAGAAGAATATTTCAACTTTACGCCACAACCATGTTCAAATAAAATAGTGGTAGAGGCAAAAAAGGATGTTTCCTCGGCAATTTGCGAAGACCAAAAAAACGAGTGGCCGTTTGAGAGTGTTTGTGAATTGCTTTGCCTTGATTTGTTTGAGTGAGTGTTGGTGTCAAAGTCTTGTAAAATAATAGAGAACTCTTGGTCAATTTAAAAATTACGGGCTTTTTTGTATTAATCAACATGCTTTCTTTGTAGTTCGCGTTGGGAGATTAGACATGGTGCTGCCATTGGTTTAAGAGAGATTCTTAAAGTCCATGGGTATGGAGCTGGACGTTTGAGTAAGTGTAGTCTAAGACAAATCGCGTACATATAGCTAGTGTTCGGATTGTCTACTAAATGTACACAATTTTTTAGTCGGCTTGACAAAGGAGGAAAACGAACAGAGACATCATAAATGGCTTAACGATATTGCAATACGTCTTTTATGCGTTTTTGCACTTGATCGATTTGGGGACTTTGTGTCTGACCAGGTATCCTATGGGCATTGTCAGCTGCTTTGCTTTCACCACTACCAGTCCGGTCATTTATTTAACGGCCCTCTATTCTTTAAAGGTTGTCGCTCCAGTCCGCGAAACGTGCTCACAGACGATGGGTGCTCTTCTACGATACATGTCACCTGAAGGTGTTCAGAACGTTCACACAGTATTACTAAAATTATTGTACCAATCCGACTTTGGCGAATCACAATCAATATGGGAAGTCAGGCATGCTGGAATGCTTGGATTGAAATATGCAGTAGCAGTGAGGAAAGATTTGGTTGAAACTATGTTGGACGGGACTGTTGGGGCTGTTATACTTGGGTATGTCTGACTAGTAAGGATGAGAATTCGTCGTATGTGTGAAAGCAGGAATAAAATGTTAATACTTTACGTTTGCACGGCCAATCAGGTTACAAGACCGAGACGATGACGTGCGCGCAGTTGCTGCATCGATATTATTACCCATTGCCGAATCATTTGTACAGTTATCGCCCCACAATATTCCTCAAGTTGTCAGTGTGCTTTGGGACTGTTTGAAGGATTTAAAAGATGATTTAACCTCATCCACTGGCAACGTCATGGATCTATTAGGCAAGTCTACAGTTAAATGGCAATTTGATTTTCGGGAAAACAATCTAATAAGTGTTGTTGTTTTTTTTTTACTTTACAGCAAAACTTTTTTCTTTTCCATCGGTGTTGGAATACATGCGCACTGCGGCTGCGTCAAATCCAGCGTACGTTGTTTAATAATTCCTTTCGTTTTGCTACCATGTCTTGCAGTGAATCCATCCTTCTCTGACGTATTCTTAATAAATGGTCAATGTTCACTCACAGGCAATCTCTGTCAACTTTGATACCACGCTTATATCCATTCTTCCGACACACAATAATGTCTGTTCGATCAGCTGTTCTCAACACCCTTTTAACGTTTCTCAGCATGCAAGATGTAGAAGAATGGGTTGATGATCGAATATTTAGACTTGCGTTTCAGAACATGATTGTTGAAGAGAAGCGAGTAAGTATACTTTAACTAAGAAAG